TAAAAATGGAGTATTTTCAGATTTGTATGAGTTTTTCTTGGCTGAAAAGAGACTTGGAAAGTTTTCAGCTGGATTTGTTTACTTTTTTGTCAGAAAGATGGCGAATTATTTTCTCGTCAGCTTTTCTCTGTTCCTTAAATACTCTGAAGCCCCACTTCAAGCAAAAGGAAACCAGAAACAGGGGAGAGCTGCAGCTCTGTGTCTCATCCTGTAACTCCCAGGGGAGCTTCATGGGTCACCACCTCCTTCTCCAAGCAGACACCATTACCTAAGGTGTAGGGCTTGGTATACTTCTTTGGCACGTTTATGTTAGCAGGTTTATAGGGAAGGACATATTTAGCCTATCAACTGTAGGGTCTAAGTTCGAAAGTGTACTGAGAGATGCAGACCATCTGCCAACCTGACTGTTCAACCCAGCTCCAGACACGAGCTCTATTCTATGCTTCTGTTTAAATAAGGCACACTTTTGGTCAGAAAGCTTTGCAAAACATGTTTTAAAGAGGTGTGTATTGTGAATATGCTGCTTCATGTCTTTGGGGTTTTAAAGAAGAGCTTAGGTCCTGTTTCTGCTCTGTAAATAAAGTATTCTGACCTGTATGGCTCTCAAAAGGCGCCTTTGGCAGGCTCTTAAACTTTCCTAACTTAAAAGGAACATGTGCTATAGTAACCTTGCAATAGATGTACAGAAAGGCACCAGGTGGCTGTGGCCCCCTTCTTGCGAGAAAAGTAAGAGGAGCCTGAATGAATGACAACAAAGCAGATGAAAGCAGATGAAAGTCTCGGTTTCAGCTGTGACAAGCCCACAGTCATTAACTGGCTGGTCTGCCCAGCTTGTTTATTATTAATTCTGAGTGCCATCCAAGCAGGAGAAGCACCTGTGATGGGGTATCAGCCATCAGAGGTCCCCGTCTAGCAAAGCCCTGCCCATCACAAGCTGGGCAGGCCACCAGCACTGCTGTCAGGGTGACAAGCCTTTGGATAGCAGCTCAGCTTCCCGTCAGGGCTTGCTGGAAGAATGTGGTTGCAAATAGGAAGGGAAACACATGTTAAGTATCTCTTTCCTTCCATGCTTTTCCTCCTGACAGTTGGCCTACAGCTTTGTGATTCATAGAATCATAGAACAGTTAGGGTTGGAAAGGACCTTAAGATCATCAAGTTCCAACCCCCCTGCCATGGGCAGGGACACCTCACGGTAAACCATGTCACCCAAGGCTCCATCCAACCTGGCCTTGAACACTGCCAGGGATGGAGCATTCACCACTTCTCTGGGTAACCTGTTCCAGTGCCTCACCACCCTAACAGTAAAGAACTTCCTTATATCTAACCTGGACTTCCCCTGTTTGAGTTTGAACCCATTACCCCATGTCCTATCACTACAGTCTCTGATGAGGAGTTCCTCTCCAGCATCCTTGTATCCTCCAGATACTGGAAGGCTGCTATGAGGTCTCCCCGCAGCCTTCTCTTCTTCAGATTTTAAGGTAAAAAGTAACTGTCAGGGTTTATTTATGAGTTTTTTTCAATGAAATCCTATAAATCCAACTGAAACCCATGACAGAACTTCTCTGGTACCCCCACTGTAGTGTAGCTGAGGGGGTTTGAGGGTTGAAGGTCAGCTCTAGGATCAGCTCTAGGAGAGCTCAGACACTTCATATGAGCCCCATTCCAGAGTACTCAGCATGGGTGACGGCTTCTCTCTGACTCTGTCAGACCATCTCAGATAAGAGTTCCCAAACTTCAGCTATGGTCAGAAGCTAGCAGCCTGCAGGAGCAAAATGAAACATTGCAACAGCTTATCTAGAATATGTTATTTTATAAAGCAGCCATTGCCAGTATACCCATAGATATATATAGTTACTTTCTTGAACTACATTAATACATAGTGTGGACTGTAAAAATAGACTGAGTTTGAAAAGGGTACAGATTTTCTATTTTAAAGCTCACTATTATGATTTTTATGTTCTTTGAAAATATCTGTCACTTAGACAAGTCTTAGAAGGAGTTTTTCATTTTGTTTTCCTTCTCTTATTGAACACGGTCTTTGATACTGAAGTTGTTGACAGAGCAATTTCCATAGGAGATATGTAAACACACACTCTGTGTAGGCAGGGTCTTCATATTTCACAGAAAATTATGACAGTCCTATTCTTGGGCTAAGATTTTTTCCATTGATGGGGACTGGAGTATTCTGAAGCTGTGTTTAGCAAACAAAGCGAACCTGGAGCCTAAAAATATACATTGCATTTGCACAGGGCATGTAAGCCTGTCAAGGTAACCCTGTTGTGATATAAAACAAGCCAATACTAAACTGGTTTGTATGTCCTGGACCCATCGCAGTTACAAAATCTGTACCAATGGGATGTGGTGGTTATTGGAAGGTCAAATTATAGCAGTCATACCTGCAGTCATTCAGTGACCCGCTTTTTACTCTGTCTGCTGTCCTGTCACCTCTCATACCCTGGTCCTTGGGTCCAGGACCAGCCTTTTCTTAAATATTTGCTTTAAAAATACACCTTCCAGAGCATAGCCATGGTTAATGATGGAGGCCCTGGAATATTATCTGCCCACATAATTTATAATTGATATCTATCCTACATAATAGAAATTAGATACCTGATTTCAGACTATAAAGACTGAAATCAGTGGCTGTTTTGCTATGAACTTGGTTAGCTAGAGTGTTTTTCACGATAATCCTATTCCACAGAATTTCAGACTTTGCTGCTAAGAAAGAAAATCCAAACACTTTATAACCCAGGACTTGACTTTACTCATAAGGACATGATAAATTGAAACTATTAGGACTATAGATGTACATCTATATTTAATCTTTTTTTGTAAAATAATTAAAAGGCAACACTTTAATCTACTCCTTTTTAAAAAAAAAAGAAGTAGCAAGGCAACTGCAGTAACTAAAACCTTTTTCTACAGTGCCTGGTAGTGATCTCTTAGCAACTAAACCACATTGAGCCAGCTTTGATGTTCTTATTCTTATTGAACGATAACAATCCTATTGAATTTTAGCTAGATCCTAGCATCAAGTAATACTAAAACAGAGTCACGATATTGGAATATAGCCTAAAATAAAATAATAAGCACATTTTTGATCTGTTAAATTGCCAGCTGTCCATTGTTTCAGTAATATGCAATTTAGTCCCAATGCAATATGTTCAGATACAGTCCTGAAATTAAAAAAAAGACAGAAGCATGTGTAGTAAAAATTGAAGACCTTAGTTACAGCTGCATAAAATTGACTGAATTCAGGATAAGCCAATACAGAACTTAGCTCTACTTATCTTTCTATTTTATCGCTTGTGAGACTGGAGACGGGCAAACTCAAACCTTTGCTGCTTTTTAACAGGCATTGGCATATTCAGTATGTATTTAAATTTTTAAATTAAATAATATGGGTCTATTCTGAAAAAGAGTAGGCTTAGATTAGATATTAGGAAAAAATTCTTCACTATGAGGGTGGTGAGGCACTGGCACAGGTTGCCCAGAGATGCTGGCAGTGTTCAAGGCCAGGTTGGATGGGGTTTGGAGCAACCTGGTCTAGTGGAAGGTGTCCGTGCCTGTGGCAGGGGGTTGGAACTTCATGAGCTTTAAGGTCTCTCTCAACTTAAACCATTCTATGAGTCTATATTTTTTTTCATTATTATTATAAATCTTCTGCCTTTCTCTTAAATTTCAGTTTCTAGTTCAGTTTCAAACTTGTGAGCAAAAGTTGTGAAAGAGTCTTCATTATGGAACTTTTCAGACTTCAATTGACTCACCTCTCAAAGGTATCATCACAGATAGTTTTTTGTTAGAGAAAAATACCTGGATGACATAAACTATCCCTGAATGCTGCTGAATCAAATTCCTCTGGGCATGAACATTTTCTGTGCATCAGGACTGAGAAAATGCTGCCCTCATTAACAGCATAGGATGCTAGAACTGATATAATACATTTTCTGAGACATTTGAAAAATCTCAGAGTATCTCTGTCCCTTGGAAAATTTGTTTTACCTTGAGATGTGACCAATATCCAGCTTGTGATTAATTCGCACACAAATCCAGCAATTTTATCCAGTTTGCTTTCCTAGAAACTTAATTTAGGGATTTTCTATTAATACCAGATACTCCACCATAGGCTTTTCTTCCTGCTGTGTTTGGCTCTCTGCCACCCTTCAGTTCATTCCAGCTGCCATTTGCCGAAGCAAGAAACCAACAGACATAAATAAATGTTTGCTGTCCTTGGCAAAACCTTTGTAGAAGGCCCCCACTGTGATTAGAGATGTATTTCCCAAGGAGTAAATTGATGCAGAACACTCTCCCCCCAGTATAAATGCATCATCCTCATACCCTTTCTCTGTGAATCTTTGGTCACTGCTTCTCAGATTATTGATGGAAGTTTACCTCTTAGAAATGGTTGAATACACTGGTGAACACAACTGAGATCCTGCCTTACTGGTCAGCTGGTGACGAAGCTACAAGCTAAATCTGGCTTGCAGAGTATTTATTCTTAGGGATGATGCATGAATCAGGAATAAGGCAACCTGATTTCAGTCCCAGGGGAAATATAAGCAAATGTGCTGTAGAACAGCTTCCCACTCTTATCACACAAGTGCCTGAAACATTTTTTTTCACAGGGAATGTTAGTGGGCAACAGCACAGAGTTCCTGGTGGTATGCAGACTATAATGGGAATGAGAAGATGCTATTTCTAATAAACTTTTGGAAGAGGAGAGAGAAAGCAAGAAATACTTCTATTTTCTAGTGTTGCTTATCTGATATTTTCCCAAATAGCCACATTAAGAGCTTAAATCTCCACAGAGCCTTCCTTCAGCACAAGAAGGAACTTACAAACTTGAGGGACCATCTGGTTTCTTAAATCCCTGCTTGGATTACAGTGTTGCAATCAATGCACACAAGATGTAGGAAAACCCTGTGGCATGGAAACTCCTCTTAAGCTGTAAGAAATGTTTGTGGTGTTCAAGACAACCCATGAGTGTTTGTATTGAACAGATCTCCCTTGTTTGGAACAGAAGAAACAGCTCAACCTCAGAGCGTGCTGCCTCCTCATCCCTCCTCCACCGCCCCTGTTCCCACCACCATCCTTCAGGCATGGCTGGAACACTGTAAGTGTGACCCTGGAGCCTTTCTCTTTCTTTTACATGACTCTTTATATATGACAAAGACTGAAGCATCCTCTCAAGCACTGCTTCCTGGTGTCACTCAACAAACCTCTTTGATCTGGCTTTATTGATATGTCTCTGTTAGGAGAATCATTCACATCCCAGACTGTGGCTTGGAAGTGAATCTCAAATAGATCAAGGCATGAAATGAAGTAGGGTTTGTTCATGCAGTTAATTCAATTAACTTAAAATATTCTTATTCTGTTTTGGGAACTTACTTAGCAGAAGGCAATCCTGAACTCAGGGTAATGGCAATGCAATAAACCAAGTAAGGACAGAAAGGCAATTTTTCATCCCACACAATGATTTCAGGGTGTATGTTATTTATGTGTCCTGGTTTAAATCACATTTGCCTTATCCAGCAGGTGAAATGAAGGTCCCAAAATCCTCCAATGGAATCTATTCCCACCATTTCATTTTGCAGAAACACAGACATGTTTGAGCTGCTGTATGCAATTTTCACTCACCCACCTATGCACATATCTGCTCTACATGATACGTACCTATATGCATGTTAACATACGCAGCATACAGGACACTATGGGTATGTTTGCCCGGTTACTGTTATTACTACGGTCTGTTAACTCTGATGTATTTTCCACCCCAACATTAAGAATTTTTCTACCTACTCCATAATTTCTTTTTCTTAATTCTACTATTCATTTACCATATGCAAATACTGCAATTATTGCTACTGGCATAGAAATAATTGTTAGCAAGAACTAACCCAAGAAAAAATACAGTGTAAGATTCTCCATTGCCTTCAGAGAGATAAGGATTGAGCCCAGGCTGCTGTTTCCACCAGACCAAAATCTGGTTGCTTCCGTCTTCCTGATCCCCTCCCTGTGCCTTAATGTCCGTAGAAAGGAGACCCAGAGACAAGATTTCCTTAGGAATGTGGCATACTCCTTCACTGAGGATGAGGTTGGGACCAGGGCCCTGAGATTTCCCCACACAGCCCAGAGAGTAATCAGCATAAATTCACCCTTCACATCATCCCCCTTATGTGAGGGAGAGAATAAGACTAGTTACTATGAGGGTGGGAGCCACGTGAATTCACTATGAACTTTGTGCTTTGGAGTCTCTAGCTGGAACTTTTCTGGAGACCGGCTTTTTGCTGGGAAGCTGAAGATCAGTTTTGTTAATCTGGTGTTTCTGGCTCAGTGTTAGTCTACATTTCCAGGGGATATCACTTCTGTCACAAGCCATAAGGCAGTTTACTCATACAATCCTAATTTTTAAGCCAAAAGATTAAGCTTTTGTTGCTTATCAAAGACATCTGCTCTGGTCTGGAGTGAATGAAAGCCTATGGGCTGGTGTCTTCTGGATCGAAGTTCACACTGCCTATACCCTCGCTGAGCATAGTCTCTTTTATTAGAGCAAAGATGCTATTTTTGGAGAGATGCAGATACATGTGAAGTGGAACAGAGAGAGCAGGGTCAGGTCTAAGAATAGGCCAGGATCCCATGCTGGCTCTAAAAGGCGTATGGCAGCCCGGCTGCCATGTGCCTCTGGGAGAGGAGGAGGAGGAAGTGTGGGGCAGGACACTATGCTGAAGTGCTAATGTTCACACGTGTGAAGTTAACCTTGTGACAAACCCTGGGCTTCTCCCTAAGGGGGCAGATAAACTCTCCTGGGGCTGTAGCATTTTGTGGTACTTTTCTTACTGCATTTCTCCAACAGGCTACGTATGGCTGCATATTCACTCCTATGTTTTATTTTATGTAGAAACTCCTTTCCCTGGATATGAAAGAGTTGTGTCAGGAGCACCCGATAATACAGGCTCCCTCTCTGCCTAAATCATATTGCCCTGCAGGGCCACCTGGCCCCCAGGTGAGTGATGCCCTTATGATTAAACCACATGTTCTCTCACTTGCTCCTAGGTCCTTACAAAGCTGTAAAACATCTGCAAATGCTTTTTGCCTCTTAATAAACATATCAAGCTCTAGCTTAATCTCATAGTGACATGACTATGCATAAATCATATAGGCATTCTACACTATGCTCTCATCTCTGCCTTGTGTACTCTGGTTTCAAGTTCACTCTTAGTTTGTTGTGGAGTTTTATTGTGGGTAGCACCCATCAAAAATCACAGAGGTGCAATCGCTTCCTTCAGAGGCTCTTGTTACTTTTCTCTTTTGTCCTTCTGTTGTCCTTCATGTGAGCCTGTAAATGGATGCACAAAAAGTGCAATGAACTTGCATATTAGTGGAGTACATCCCTGTGATTGCAAACACCTACAGGAAACATAAAAGACAAGGAAAGGCTTTAGGACGGCAGTGGTATGGGATCCAGGAGATGTGGATGTGGTCTAGCATGACCTCCAACATCTCTGCCTTGGATGTGCTGGGTAGCCCTGGGCCATTCTTTTTGACCTCCCATTTCATTCTGTACAATTTGTATGTTCAGAAATGTTCTGAGTGAGGTCAGAAATCTTCCAAGGAAATGGTCCACCTCTAGGGGTAACATTTTTGCACACATCTCTGTAGCATGGAGAAGATCACTCGTCTGTCCTTCTGTTCCAGTTCATTCTATCCAAAGAAAAATTAATGGAGACGTAATGCCAGTTTCTCCTGACGCATAGGAGTTCCCAAGCTACATGCTGTGCCTGGTGCACTGGGACAGGGATCTTCCTCAACGCCCCCAGGTGCAGATTTTATTGCAATACAGCTAATAGCAGACATGGCACAGGACCTTTGCTGCAGCAAAAGCTGTGACTAGGGCTTGGGCAGCCTGCGAAGTTAACAAGGGCCCAAAAACTATTTAAAACACATGGACAATAGGTCACAGTAAAGGTTCAGTTATGTGGAAAAAAGCTTAGCTTTAATTATTTAGGAGTGAATACTTCAGAAGGTATTTGTAAACAGTCTAGAAGCTGCAATGTGAAAACCACGAAGTCTTGTTTTACCAACTTTGACTTTATTGTTCTGCCATTTTGTCTTTGCTGAGATGCAGGACGAGGCAGATTCATTTAGCATGTGAATGATGTGAGAAGTGATGGGAAGTGTTTGTCCTGTCCTGCACTATGGAACAGCCCTGCAGCGTGGTTGGCCATGATCCAGAGTTGCAGTATATATTAAAGAAGCTGTTGTTATTTCAGTCTTCTCTAGAATCTTTGTTTAAGAAAAACCCTCTTAATGCTCTCTCTGACTTAAGTGGAAGAACAGAAATATTAATTCTATCGTTCCACAAGGTCCTTTGCTATAAATAATACTGATCTTGCAACCAGATGACCTATGATCCCTCCAAGAACATTTTTCAATGGAGTAGGCTGGCAGATTTTATCACAGCAGCAGACAGTAGGGTGGGTATAACATGGCTTTGGAATTTTTAATTATACATTATGGGACTGTGTCACGTAATGGGACAGTGTAAGAGCCAGCAGTCCTCTGGGCAATACTTTATGGCAATGGTCACCTGAAAAGCAATGCTACTATTACAAAAAAGTAATCTAAGAAGTAATTCTGAATTCCTTTCTGCTGTAGTTTGCCCGGCTTTCCAAGGTGTTTTAAAACCTCCTACTATTGACTCAGAGCTATATTTTAACACTTTTTCATAAGAAAAAGAACTGGAATTGTAATGGTTTAACTCACAGTGTAATAACCTGAGGTAAAATGGAAGTAACAAGATAAAATTTGGCTCTCACTCTAATAGGGCATGTTCTGATTTACAGTATTGAAAACTTTAACTCCACTGACAAAAATATTTGGAGTAATTTGCATTTGAGGGTACACTTTGCTGCTATTCATGTACAATTTGCATTACGTTTTGGACAGCATAAGTCAGCCAGGATTCAAACCTGGAGTGATTTGTATGGTGAATCTAACACTGATACAGGCTCATAGGAGTTTTTTCCTTGGTCATTCACAAATGAAAGGTGATCTGTGACCTGGAGCTCTCTAGAAACAACAATGTTTTTCTGATTTCTTTTTCTCTGAGATGGGGTTCAAGGTCTGTCTGGATTAAGAAGTCTCCTGAAAGAAGAAAACCATCCTCATTTGAGGGAGAGAAACATGTCCAGGCAATACGCTATGATCATACCATAGAGCCCATGGTCAACCACCATATCCAGCATCCCAAACTTTATTCCCAGGAGAGACCTACAGGGGCAGGGACTGAAGGAAGACAACCACTAGTGCCTCCATACTACTGTAGTTTAATAACAGCATTCACTTTTCTCCCTAGGGCCCACAAGGGATTCCTGGTATAATGGGACCAAAAGGGGAGAAAGTAAGTGTCGCTTGCTATGGAGTTTGGTGTGGTTTTGAGGAAGAAAGAAGGGGGTGGGGGCATGTTCACTTTTTTCCTTTTGATTAGTGAAGGATGGGCCTTACTGATGTGGGGGGTTGGTTTAATTTGAATGTAAGGCTGTGAATTGGTTTGAATTTGTAATTTAAAGCTTCATATTTTAGTGTAGGTTTTCAGTCTTTATGCATTTTTTATGGCTTCTCACCATAGCTACCTCTGTCTAGAGTGTGTGTTAAGAAAGCAGCTCAGGTGTACAAGTCAGCGATCGTACTGATCCAAAGGCCTTTGAATGTCCTGTCCTTCTGGGAGGACATGAAAAGCAGGGCTCTCCATGCGTGTTAATTGTACAGGTCAGCTCAGATGTTAAAATTCGCCTGTATGTTAAGTTTGGTCATTTGCTCCATGACGATGATTTTAGGGGCCTTATACCTGAAGCTGGACACATAATTATATGCTTTACTATACAAGGGGATGACTGTAGATTTAGGGCTGAGAACACAGGAAAAACCAAGGAGCTTTTTTAAAGGAATTTTTCTCATTTTACCTTTGGAAGCAAAGTCCTGAACACAAAGGTATTCCCAAATTTATGTTATTTTCCATATAAATGCATTGACGAATGAACCTCTGTGCTTCTGTGGTGCCTATGGGACTAACATGTTCCTTTCTCTGGCAGGGGGAGATTGGCAGGCCAGGAAGAAAGGTATGAACAAAAGTGCTCTCTCAGAACCCACCTAATACTTGACAAGTAATAGCTGTCAGAGAGGGCTGCAGACAATAGTTAGATAAAGATTAGCGAGTGTTGAAGTTTAACCTCTATGTGCTGCTTCTCCTGGTACTCAGGGTGGGTGGCATGGAGCTCCAGGTGAAGGCTGGAGAGCTGGGCCCTCTGGGCCCTTGGAGACCTGCCCCAGCTGGTTTGAATTCGACAAATTCCCTCATCAAAAGCATACATCTCTGGCCAGACAATTATAGGAAGTTACCTGACCTACGCATTCTGTGGCCAGGGAAAGAGGAGTATGCGAGCTATCACAAAAGGTGCATGAGAGAAAAGTCCAAAACAACATTAAACTTTTTACTTCTCCAAAGTCTAAACAAGGCTCCGAAAAATACCCCCAAAAGGGGGATAACCATCAATGATTACACTTCCAAAGTTCTGGCACCAATACAATATGCTGACTACAGTCCTATGCTTGGTGACACATGAGCCATGATATGCTGTCCAAAATATGTGTCCCTACATGTGATGAAACAGAATACGTTACCTCAGCCACTAAGTACCTCCATTTAATGTAATTAACTTTGAAAGAAGACAGCAATGTAGGATGAAATCAGAGATAAGCAGAGGGTAGTCACTAACCAGGAAAAGAAATACCCTTCTAATAATACACCAAGGATTTTAACACCTTTTAAATAACATACAAAGGATTTTAACACCTATCAGTAATTCAAATAGATATGAAACACATAAACAAAAGAGGTCTTTTTCTTTAATCTGAATTGCAAATGCCCTACAGTAAACAAAGATATTACTTCTATAAATTCAAGATTTCAAAACAGTAATGTCTTAGAGAGGGTCACCCACCAATCTACAAGAAAGTACAACCTTAAATGTAATACATCAGTACTTGCTCTTCTAAAATACACTAATAGGTCCAGAAAGAGAAGTTGCTCACGTTGGAAATAAAACAGTTTAACCCTTGCTACAAGCTGTCTGGCTCATGGGAGGTCATTCATGGCCCCAGATGTCATAAGGACATTTCTAAGATCATATTGTCAAGTGGCATAAAGCAGTGGAGTAGCACTAATCTGCAGCATTTTAGGAGATACTCAAGCAGTGTTTTACAGACAGTAATTAAAATAGATAAATAACTGTATGTATGTAGTTATTGCTAGTCATAAAGTAGCTATAAAGTAGCTGTTACAGTTAGTAATATGAGAATGTTCAAAATAACAAGTAAATAAATGTAGAAATATCTCAGCTAAAAACCTGGTTCTGTTCTTAACATAGATATCTACTAACTACATGCAAGTCTTTCTGATTTACATCATATTATTAAATGAAAAGAACATTTAAGTTATTCATACTGGGGTTTTAGGATAATTATTTTAACTGCATATAGATTTACTGTGTAGCTGAACTGCTTATTTGAATCAGTATAATTTGGTATTTCTGTAACCCCACACCTCCTCCAGCAGCATTAACATAAAGTGTACTATGAATATAATATAGTATTTTTTTTGTATTAACAGCAAGGTAAAGAAACATTTTCAGGTCTTTTGCTGAAAAGACTTTATTCCTCCCAACTTCCTGTCTGCAGTGGAGGTCTGTGTGTAGGAATGATGTTGCCTGAATTGTTGTAATTGATGTTTTCCGTTCAAGGGTAGACCAGGTCCCCCGGGTGTCCCTGGAATGCCAGGACCAATAGGATGGCCTGGACCTGTGGGACCGAAGGTAAGACTAAAATTCACATGGAATAACCTGTTCAGCATCATGATCTGAACATGATAGTTGTCATGGGAAGTCATTAGGAAGTCTCTAAGCGATTATCTGCTAAAGGCTGGGAAGCTGCAGCAGTGCAAGGACACTCTGTGCTTGTCTTGTTTCATACACTGCTCTGCAAAGAGCTGCCCAGTCTAGGGTTAGGTTTATCCACCTTCAGCCTAGACCCTGTAGCACTTCTTATGTTGATTAAAATATGTCAGAGGGAAACCAAAAATCAATCTAATGAAGACTCATTGATAAGCACTGGTGTCTCACAGTCACATTGATCAGTGCTTTAAAGCTGATCATCATCTTTATGAGCGCTCTTTATGATGATCTCTTCACCTGAATGTGTACTTCTTGGCAGTGCAACAATATGCCCATGCGATCAGAGGGAAAACACCAGGCTGGTCTCAGCGGAAAGAGATTACAAACCATGTGAATTACTGATCGTGTCTTTGAAGTTAATTCCCATACAAACAGACATTTATTCCTGTGACTTTTTATAACCAACAGCAGAAGAAATGTCAGGACCCTCTTTGCTACTGCTGAGTGGTTGCTTCCTCTTCATTTATCATGGAAAAGCTTCAGGACAGTCCTTTGCTGAGTATAATATCATGTGAAATCTATACAGCTCCTTACAGAAGCCACAGTATATGGCGTTTCTACTGGGACTTTTGAGATAACTTGCTTCCCTTCAATTTAGTACGCATCAGGCAAAAGGACTGCACGCAATGTTTAGTTCAACGCTACATTTTCCAGTAAATCTTTGACTCTTCATTTGCTCCACGGATGCTTGTACCACCACCTCAGAGGACTGCAAGAATTATAGTAGATGACTTCTGAATTCAAGCCACATCTGGAAAACAGACCCTCAACCCTAACACATCTTCAATGTGTTAGATGAAAAACATCATATTATAGAATGTAGGCAAGCAACAAGAGTGTTGCTTAAAAGGAGACAATGTTCACTTTGAACTGTGAGATAGGACATGGTGTCCCCCCAGAAAACGCACTGTGTGCTGTGATTTCTGACAGTAGGGGCAGTGAGGGTAGAAGGAAGCTTCAACTACCTCCTTCTCTCACAGACTTAGTACTAAGAGCAAGGTAGTCAGAAAAATCATTCACTTGGCCTTTCCTTATGTAAGCTCTAGTTTTATTTACCAAGTCTTCCTACTTTTGATATTATCTCCTCTTTGCCTATTGTTATGCTTTTTCATCACACTTCTAGAAGCATCCTTCATATTCAGTAGTAATACTTTTTCCTATACTTTGACTGCAAGTGATACTTGCTGTTTGATTCCAGTTCTTCTGCTTTTATTGTCTCCTCTGGTACCTGTCTCCTGTGTTCCTTAGATGAGTTCACGTTTTCATTTCTCCTTGTCTTTATAAATTTCAGACTCCTGCTTGTCAGTAAAGGCTCCAGTCAAATAGAGGCCAGCAGATCTCTCTGCTCATTTCCATTGGTTGTGTCTCTTTCCTTTCTCTCCTTCTCATCTCTCATCTTCCCAGACTACTCATCTTCTCTACAGTCATTTACTGCATCCTCTTCTTGCTGTAACTCTCCAGTAAGATGCTCTTTGTTTTGTTTTGCTTTGGTTTTTTTCTCTCATTCCCATCTCTCTGCTTTATGTTTTTTAGCTGTGTCTCCTTACTTCTCTTTCTTTGACACAATGTTGGTCTAATCCTTACTTCTACTTTGTTTCTTCAAGTCCTTTCTGAGCTTCTGCTGGGGCAGCAGCCAATGTGAGAATCCTCTTCATTTCTAGGACAGTGAAAGCCAAAGGAGAATGAGAGCCAACTGTATTCTGCTGTAGTGCTACTGCATGTCTGCGGGGACTACTCCGAATTTCATGCTAGATATAATTAGCTGGCAGCAGCCAGAGAAGTTGTTGTAAAGCCTTTTCATGATTTACTGGCTCCAAACCACTGTAAAGCACATTATGTCTCAGAGCTGCAATAAAACTACTCACTATGTTTTCCCAAGCCATAAGGACTTGCAGCAGAATACCTTTATTTTCTGCAATTCAGTGGAAGTGATGCTGGGTAGAGATGATGCACCTTCATGCAGAAAAAATGATGCACTGCTGCTTCTAATTTGTTTGCATGTCCTTTAATAGCATCTGACAAAACTGAAGCAGAAGTTACGCATCCAAGAAAATGCCAATAGAAGGATAAGATAACATATGAGGACTCAGGCAGGATAGAATTGAAATACAGAGCTCTGACTACAATATTACACCAAGGTCAGACTTGTCTCAATCATTGGACGTAAAACCTCAACTGCTAAACTGTCAGACATTCAAATATGACCTCATCAGAGAGCCACAATGAATAACTCTCTTTATTGACCCCTTTAGGGTGAAAAGGGAGAGTTGGGTGTGATGGGATTGCCAGGTACAAGAGGACCAATGGGCTCCAAGGTTTGTTAACCAAATGCTGCATTTTCAGACATATTGGTTTCTAACGCTCTGCTGACAGCTGCTTCCCTCATGAATTGGCTGGATAGCATTTGTCAAGATGCATCTTTTCTAATACAGCTTAAAAGATGTGTTCTTCAAGCAAGGTTATGTTGTCTGGTTGGGCTTGGCTGTGTTTTTGGCTTTTCATAAAAATGCTTAGGTGTAAATTATTCTAACGCAAAAATTTATGTTAAAAGCAAAACTCATATATAATTGTATCCCACTAGAAAACTGGAGTTGTTAAGTATATCTGAGGCATTAAATCATGTCTGCAATGTTTTCCACCCACCTCACAAGACTGGAGATCATTTTGGTCCTCTACTAAATCTATGCATATGTATTGACAGTCAAATAGTAAGCACAGTTTGGTCTGAATGTTCTAGGGTCTGCACATCATGGTCTATAGCATAGCCTTTGCCTTTACAAATTTAAGCCACAATATTTTTAGGTACTTGAAAAAGATTGTGCAGTCAGTTTATTCAAATAAAGGACTAGAAAGAAGAACTGAATACCCTTGTTTATTGTATGTTTCTGAAAGAAAAACTTGTTTTTATAGTAATCTTCACATTGAAAGATTACTTACATAAAATTTAGAGATGTTCCGGGGCGGGGGGGGGGGGGGGGGCGGGACCTAAACCCAAGAACCCAGAAGGAGAAGACTATTGCTAAAAATATTTTAGGTTATTAATTGTGTCATCTAAGGCTTTATTCAGCTACATTTTATCTCGCTTATTTCAATTTTAAAGCAATATCAAACCTGCTGGCTTTACCCGGCTTTTTCATGTTGGCTTTTGGGCTGAGTTGTCTTGCCTTTAATTCATGTTTCATAGTTCTGTTTCAGTGCAATTTTAGAAGCTGTAAATATTCATTTGCATTTACAAGTTGATGCAGTTAATTATTTGTGCTTCACTCTTTTTCTTCACTTCAAAGTTTGAAAGTTCAGCTTCTTGGGTGATGTTGAAAGCCAGAAGCATTAAAGTGTCTATCATTCCCTTTAGGGTTTTCCTGGAACTAGAGGAGAAAAGGTCAGTGTGACAACAGAATAATGTGTAATTTAACCATTAGAAACAGTTATGCAAAAAAAGTAACTGTAGAAATGAGACTGGGTTTTGATGGGGGGAAGTCCAAAGGTCCCACTGAGAAATGAAAACAAGCATCAGTAAGGAGCACAGTCTTGTGTTTTGGGCTGGGATACTGAAGAAGTGAGTTTTACAAACTGTCTTGTGAACAAATTACTACAGTGCACCTCACTACAGCTTCTCCGTCTGTAGAACGGGTATAATAATTCTTTGTTGTCCCTCTGGTTTATTTAGGCTATATATATATACATTGACACTCAGACAGTTTTTACTGTAAGACCTTACAGTGGAACCTCAATTTAGATGAAGCCAAGTGGGGAAAAAAATCAAGTTTAGAAGCATTATATCCAGGAAAGCACCTATTTAAAGTAATTATCTGGGGAGAATGAGTCCCTTTTCCTGCAAGCCTTACTTTTAATTCTGTTGTAATGTCAATGAAAGTAGAAAGGAAACATTTTAGGGTATCAAACCATATGCCTCACTCTGAAGATAATACTGTATTATGTGTGACTCTAAATAACACCTCATGTGAGAAATATTTATTGCTTCCTCATGAAATGGTAGTAATTAAGCTGTTATTGCCCTGTTATCTCCTTCCAGGGATCCAGAGGTGACAGGGGTGACAAAGGAGTCAAAGGAGACCAGGTAATTTTCTTTTCCAAATAGCTGTGAGCTTTAGCTGAATGTGCACATGAGGACTAATGTACTTCTGATGGCAAAAAACAGGAATGGCTTGGAGGAAGGGAGCCTGGAGGCATCTTCCTTGGAGGGCAAGAATGGGGAGGGAAGGCAGTGGTCCTGCCTGATGGGAGGGTGGTGGGGTAGCATCCATGTCCATGTGCCCTTCAGTGCCAGCACACAGGGGGGCTCACGAGTGAGGGAGGGAATTCCTTGGGGATAACCTCAGTCTCTCCTGGCCTGTGCAGTCCAGAACCACAACAGCTTGCCAAAATGGTTTTAAGTGGTGAATGATAATGCTGAGGATAGGCGGGAAAAGGAGGGGTGAGATTCACGGCTTGGGGGTTCTTTTAACTGAGAAAGGAAAAGTAAATTGTTTCTGATGTAAATGGAGAAATGCTATTCCAAAATGCAGGAGCTGTCCAGGTAGCAGAGTTGCCTGCAGACAAAATACGATCAGGATGTTCTTGCTGGAGGAGAGGAAGCAGGTGGCAGAGGAATAGTGTTACTGTACAAGGGGATTTACAGTAAAATTGTGCTTATAATTCTCCACCTACTGCATCGCCCACAGTGCTGAATCACAGTGTGGGTTTCTTTAACCAGTATCTGGTTAAGTACATGGCACTTGTTCTTCTTGCATCCAGGGAAGGTGCTGCTTTGGCAAAGATGACTCCACATCTTTTTATCATTTTTGTCCTTTTATTTTGTAGGGAGAAATAGGCTTCCCTGGAATGCTGGGACAAAAAGTAAGTGGGTGTGGTGTGTTGGGGAGCTGTGTTAAGTTAAGGGTCAATCAGTTGCTTCAGGGACATCCTGGAAAGTATAAGACATTGAAAGTCATACCTGACTTCTTGGACTGATGATCAAATTCTTCAGACCTTTTATCTTAGGAGAAAACCCTGAAATTTAGCCATTTGGTGTTTCTCTTTTTTCCTCAGACCACTGGTTTAGTTATAATTTTCCTCCTGTTTAATGTAATCAAACCCTTGTTTACAGATTCATAACTGCCCTAATTGTTTGGAGATTATTCATTTGAAGCTAATAAATGCTTCCTTCTTGGTACTCTGAATTCAAATGACACTACTACAAATAGCAGTGGTAACCCTGACCAGTTTTTATGTCATCATAAGTCTCTACTTGAAAAACAATAAAATTTCGATGTTGGCTTCTGGATAAAAACTCTGAAGGAGGATAATTTTAAGATGTAATCAGATCTTGTCTCTGAAATTAGGATAAGGAAATAATAATTGTTTCTAAGGAGGCTAGAAGATGAGTGAATTCACTTTCCATGAGTGATTTTATTATACGTCCATCTTAACAGCAAAGCATGATATTGCCAAGGCGTCAGAGAGTTTTGCTAGCTTTGGCCTCTCCAAGTCTCTGAGCATGTTTCTGATCTTTCCATTTGGCCTCCTCTTTAATAAGGATTTTTCAGGGAAATTTTAAGCAATATTTTTTACTTTACACTTGTTTGAAAATATTTCATTGAATTTTGGATTTTTGAGAAAGAAACAGTGCCAACATTATCCAGAGGAATCATGTGAATCTTGTACTCACATCCTGCTTCCTTCCTTCCCTCTGCACCCACCAAGGGAGAGATGGGCCCGAAGGGACAATCGGGAGTACCAGGACACAGAGGACCTATAGGAAGACCTGGAAAACGAGGCAAACAAGTAGGATCATGGCTTTTCCTTTTCCTGTGACTCGTGGCATATGTGTGGTGTGTGCTTGTGTGATACCAGGCACTTTATCACATGAGGAACAGACAGAAACTCTGAAGCCCCTCATATGCATATACAGCCTACGCAGGAGTTAAAGCCTCAGCTTTAGGGCTGGAACCTTATCTGTATCATTCAGCTCTCTGGCCTTGCAACATGGGGAAAATCATATTTTTCCTGTCTTGGTAATGAACTCATTGAATAGAACTTGAGCAGAACATGAACACCTCCTTGGAGTCCTAAGCAACACAGAGCTACAGTCTCAGCCCCATCTGATGGCTAGATAGTTGATACAAGGTTCAGGTCTTAGCGTGAGATATAACATTGTGGTGCCTTACACTTTGTAGATCCTAACTGTGAAGGTGACTTAGGGAGCAGGGCTGCTTGATTTACAGGCAGGCTGCAATGGCATATGGGATATATCCAAAATTCAACAACCAATACCATCCTCTACCTCTCACAATAACAGGTTCCTGGGATGAGTGAAAGAAGGTTTGTAGGGAAACACTTGTTTTCTGAGCCTCTGAATGGGGAGAGGAATTGCTGTTGATGCTACAAAATCTAATTCTTCCTCACCTGGGAGGAAGCTGCGGGCAGAAAGGGCAGCATTAGCATCCTGCAAGGGAGGTCCCATTGCCTGTGCATGAATTTTCTCCCTGGCTCACCATTGTCAAGAGGTACACTACTGCTAACAAAACCACTGCTTGTGTGCACTAGCAGGAGCTGTCTGTATGCTAGGAATGGTGTGCTGTAACAGATTAAACTGGGGTGGGTGGCAATGGAAAACGCTGGTCTATATGTCCAACATGCAGCCTTGTATTGCATTGTAATGCAATCTGGGTTTCTATCACAGGTATGAAGTGTTTATCCAGTGTATATTCAGGCTCTGCCCTTGCTGCCTAGCCTGCCTGGAAGATGCTTTCTGTCCACACTATCCAATTTGGTTGATTCAGGCTTTGCGCAGACCCAAGCGTTGGTCAGCACAGATCAGTTTTCAGAGCCACAAGGTCTTGGAGGTGTTTGGCATGCAGTGCAAAGAACCAAAGCACTAAAACACCTTCTCTGTTTCTCCCATTTCCTCTGTTAACTCTAAATCAAGATTGCTGTGTTAGACTAGATATTTATATGGCAGTTCTCACCATAGTACTGCATGCCAGGGACAGATTCTTTTGCTCTGAGAAAGGTCAGGAAGACACATAGTGACTTTAAGGAATGGTAATCTTGTAAGGAACCTGTTCAGGAATGGAGTAGCTGACAAACTGTCCTTATTTAGAGTTCAAAATAATTATGCTGGTAGAACTATTTTTTTCAGACTTTCAGAGGAATTGTGAAGACCAGGAGTTGTGTGTAAATTTGGTATTGACTCGTCCACCATAGCATTTTCCAAGGAGGAGGTAGCAACATTAGTACAGTTACCTGTTCAAGTCAACAAATGGGCCTCTTTGAGTGCACCTTTCCTTTTGTATTCATTTTAAACAATGATACTGGGGGTATGAAGGAGACCAGTTCCTGGTGCTCTGAATTGCTGCCTCAGAGCCTGTTTCTTTCTGCTGACCAACAGGGAAGGGAACCTGTTCTCACTGCACTGACTTGGTGTTAACGTACATCTGTATCTGCTCAGACACAGGAGCTTGTAGATGAGGTGATTAACGGGCTTAGCTGAATGTATTTTATTTGCAGTATGGTTATGCCCAGCACTGCAAACAGAGGCACATCTGCTGCTGGGGCTTTGATGCTGTCAGCTAATATCTGAAGTGAAAAAATAGCCAGTGTGGGGAAAACCTAAAAGTTGTGTGTTAGGAAAGGAAAACAGGTCACCAAGTAGGGAAGGTCTGTGCAAAGTACGTCTGCTTTGTGACCCACAAGAAATGGGGTTTTTATCCTTGGTTTGTCGGGTTTTAAAAGCTGATGTGTGCTCTCACTGTTTTTATGAACCGTGCTCATCTGTCCTGCCAAAGTAATACGCACACAATGTCTTTCTATAGCACAAGGCAAAGAGAAGACACAGCACCTGAACACAGCGTGTTCCTTACTTGACCTTCAACATTTTGCCACATTCTGCCATGTCTTAATCAAAAAGTGGTGGCATAAGGCATGCCATAATTTAAGGCAACAATCAGTGTGACTGAAAGAACTGTAGTCTGGCCCTAAATTAGGATTTCTAGGCCCAAGGCCCAATACACAAACCTTTCTTATGCCCTGAAAGCAGTTTTAGTATTGATCTTCTGCATGAAAACCTTTCTTTTTTTCTAATCCTTTGAAAAAACTTGAATGGGGTATTTTAAGGCTCTGTGGGTCTGGGTGCTGCCTTTAAGTGCTGTAGTTGTCTGGCTGTTTGTTCAGCTGAGAAGATAGTTTCCATCAACATGGGGCCGTTTCCTGTCTCTTGATCCTGCTGACATCCCTAGATAAAAGCAGCTAAATTAGGAAGGTGTCACTTCCACTTCCATTTCAAGATGTGTCTTGATTATCTCACTGACTTCTTCAGCTCTCCCTTGCCTCTGGGCAGGCTCTTCCTAAAAGGTGACCAGGAGGTGGGAGTCACAAGTCACAGCCTCACTGCCCTCTGAGCTATAACACTCAAAGCTTCGTAACTTGGGACTTGACCCTAAGGAGCAAGTCTAGGGTTTCAGTCTTGATAAGGAGGAATGACTCAGGGCTTTAGACAACGTTACTTTGAAAGAAAGGAAGGGAATATAAATATTGTCCCTGGGGAAAGCTTCTCTGAGTGCCATGCGTACATTTGAAAAGAAGCAAGCAAACATGTTTAATATAAATCTCCACCATTATTATTTAATCCATCTGTGCTAAGCAAGAGAGCCTTAAGCAATCACTCCTCCAAAGCAGGAGACATAGAAGACAGCTCATTTTCAGGCAGTACGTGTCCAACTGGCACTGGCTTGTCTCTGCCAGATCACTGGTCTGTGGGGGAAAGAGGTTTCCCACAGACTTCTTTGGGGCTACAAAATCCTGGTCTGCTCATTCTGTGTTGCATAATGTAAGAAGTAATTAGGGATCAGCATCATTGACATTCACATAAATCCTGGATGAGTTTGATGGCACAGAGCTTACCTAATAGGATTAAACAAGGCAAATATTCAATTAAGTTCTTTATGGGGCATGGCAAAATCAACCTTCCTCAACATTCAAATGTATCCATGGGACATGACATATTATATAACAACAGATTATTTTAGCATACTTAACCCCATATGCTTTATTACTCTGAAACCGGACATGTAACCAGTCATCATAAGCCCGTGAATTTACATTAACCTAGAATTACGCCATCTTTGAGGAACTCATCTCCCTTCTTATTAAAAGAAAGCTTACACAACATACATCATTTTTGTTATGCTAAATAATGTATGCTGTCGCATAAAATCAAATCAGATATTTACACTTTAAGCTATGTAATATGCTTCCGAAATATAAAGCTGAGAAACCCAAGCCTTGGAGAGTGCATGAGCAGGAAGATAAATATAGGTATTTTTAATAGGTGTTACCATATTAAATTCAGGAGTATAAATATGAAGGTGCTGAATAGCTGTAGGGTGAAAATTTCAAATGCCTAAGGTCATGGCTGCAGAAGCAGGATCCCATGAGGCAAATTACAGATGATTTTGCAGAATATTAGCTATTGTATGGTAACTGTGTGTAAGCTCATCTCCCATAGATAAATGTTACAGCACTTTGACTGAGAGATAAGGTACTGGAGAAACACTATTTGTCAGTATGGGGTTGCCACACACTAGCTTGCACTTCTTAAAGCCAAGCCCTTGCTTACCTTGTGATTTGTTAACATAGCTCTACCTGTGGTGAAAGTCAAGGAGATACAGGAGTCCAGGCATCACACTGGAAACAGTGTGGGCATCAAAGTCATTAGTGTCCTTCTGAAAGATGGCACCCTAAGACTGGGAAATGTCACTGTGGAAGCCCTTGCTGACTGCTTAGTGATTTGTCTCTTTTTTCAGTGTCTATTACTCCAGTAACTAAGGGTTTCCAGGATCAGCTATTTCAGCTCCACCAGCCCTTTCTGTCTGAGCTGCCCTGACAGTTATCAGGGGTAAAAGGTATCCTTGAAGAAAGGCTATCAAATAATTGAAGTCAGGGTGATTCCTCACTCCACACAGAGCAGAATTCTGGGACCATCCACATTTAGGAGCAGAAGCCCTGCCTGGACACACTTTTCTGTCTCCAGCTAGAAGAGGACAGCACCTCTTCATTGGGGTGGTGGCTATGAAGCTTGTGCTGCATGCTTCTACTGCAAATGTCTTGGCTTTCTTGAAAGGAAAGCCACTGCTGGCTGGAAGAGGTTGTGTGTTATGAATAGTTTATCAAATAAATGGATGTCTCCTCTCTCCTAGGGGCTGAAGGGAGACACTGGACCTGCAGGTGTCATGGGTCCACCTGGAAGGCCTGGTCCTTCCGGCCAGCCAGGCCCCCCTGGACCTTCAGGATCAGGTAAGCAGTGTCCCTTCCTCCCTAGCCCCTCCTGACTCATCATATATGCCTACATAGGCCCCTTTACAAAAGGTGTTGCAGGTATGCATTTGATTCTCCAATGACAGCAAGCAGAGGATTTCTCCTGAAGGCAGGTCATGCCATCCTCGTTCCATTGTAAGGATTCTATACCTCACTTTAAAGCCTACATTTTGGCTTCTGATGTTTCAAAGAAAAAAAAAAATACAGGTTAAATGGCTCCTGTGGGACTTTGGTAGATGGGGATAATGAAAAGCCATCTGGCAGCCTTGGAGGGACTGATTAATCTCCACCATCAAAGGTCTGCAGCTTCTCCAAGTGTCCTGGCTGACAGTGGAAGACTGGTTTCTGATCAACATACACTGTGCAGCTCTGTAAAAGCAAACCAGATAAAACTCAAGTCACAATGGCATTAAGGAAAGAAAGGAAGAGGAGGGACAGGAGTCAGTGGGGGGAAAAGGCAGTGGAGAAAAGCTTTAATTAAGTGCTGGAGATCTGTGCTTGCTGCAGTTGTGAGTGTAGTAGAAATCATGAGAAAAATCTTGTAACTGGTGGTTGTACAGCTTCAAAGATATGCATGCACATGAACTCTGTAGGACCAAGTGTAGACATGAAGGACAATACACAGCCCACAGTGTTCAGTGACTGGATATATTCTAAGGTATCTGAAAACAAAAGCAAAGCCATCTGGAAACTACTGTTGTTTCAAATGGACAACAGCTGCTTCTACTGCAGCTGATCTGTTCAATGTCCTCTTCCATTTTGCTTTCCCTTTTTCTTCCCTTGTTTACATCTGTGAGCATAAGGTCTCGTCTTGTGGTGATGTGGAAATGGTACCTCTGTGAAGCTGGGGTTTGCTTCAGAATCTTCACATACCTCATGTCTCCCATTATGAAATGTCTTTGTCTTGAGTAAATTAGCTGGAAGTTGTTTTCAGAGGAGAGAATTTTCACTGTACCAATGGGAAGGCAGCCATGATCTTGAGATTGAAATAATTCCATCCATGGAAAGTTTATGTGGTGTCAGGCTTGTTAATCTTTTTCCTCTAGAATATAAATTCTCATCCTAAAAGACCTTGCTGTAATGATGTCACTGCTTGCAGTATGAATGTGCTGGCTCACAGTCTAATTCTGCAGAGTAGTGCATCCTTGCCAAAGTTTGAAGTCAAAAAGCAGTATTTCTTACATTTTAATTTGCAGCTCTCCTGTATTTCTAGTTGTGTTTTCTACCTCTGAAACAGCATTGCTCAAGTGGTTATATAAATGCGCAAGTCCTATGCGTTGTGGATATACACATAGACTGACTCTGCTAAATTTGGTGCATAGATGCTATAGAGTGATCTGTGTGTTCACCATGTCCTAAATTTCTATTGCTTGAAACAGGCTGGTATTTGTTCTAAGCAAATAGTGTCTCTTTCTCTGCAAACCTGGTAGAAAATTTAAAAAGAGAACTAAATAATGTGACTGTGGTACAAACTTCAGTCTTTCTCCTGAAGTGCTGGAATTGGTGGTTCTGCTAATCATAGAATCATAGGATTCATAGACTCAGAATGGTTTGGGTTGTAAGGGACCCTAAAACTCATCCATTTCCAAGCCCATGCCATGGCCAGGGACACCTTCCATTAGACTAGGTTGCTCCAAGCCCTGTCCAACCTGGCCTTGAACACTGCCAGGGTTGGGGCAGCCACAGCTTCTCTGGGCAACCTGTGCCAGTGCCTCACCACCCTCACAGGGAAGAATTTCCTCCTAATATCTAATCTAAATCTGCCCTCTTTCAGTTTAAAACCTTCTCACGTTGTCCTATCACTACATGCCCTTGTAAAAAGTCCCCTTCCAGATTTCTTACAAGGTAATCTCTTCCCTCAGTTCCCAGTGAATTCAGTGGGAGATATGCATATCTGAAAGCTTATATCCACCTGACCTGTACTTTTTCCACTAAGATTGTGTTTGTGATTTGTATATTAATTTCTCAACAAGGGCAACCTGGTATTTTGCTTCCTAGGGCAATTCGCAATAGGACCAAAAGGGGAAAGAGGACTTCCAGGACTTCCAGGGAGATGTCTTTGCAGACCCCCACAACACATGAGTAACCCGCCATATGAGGAATCTGTGTTTGGACACAGTTATCCAAAAGTCCCTGTGGTAAGCAGATTTTCTGGGAGATGGTGTGAGCAGTTCTTAAGTAGTTTTATTGTAAGAGGTGGTGTACTCACTAATATTTTTTATTTAAGGCGGAAGATGTCTGTATGTGGGCAATGTGTTATTTCTAGCATCCAAAACCTCTGCAATCCAGTTGGTGCAAAAGAGTTTGGTCTCGTAACTAGTCTGAGGGTTTTGCGATTGTGGTGCTGAAATGCAGCTGTTTCAAACCATCAGTAATGCAGCATGTGTTTAGAAACCTTTTTCAAGCCTTAGGATGCTCTCTTTCATCTTCTACTGTACATACGTAAACTGTTCTCTTTATTTCAGTGAACTGGAATATATTTCAGATTGGTCTGTGAAGTCTCTTTCTTGCTTATTTTTTGTATCTTCTTCTGCAAAAACAGTGATTTTAGAATTGAATATTGGGATCCCAAAGCACGGGCCATCTACCTTGAAGCAAAAATGAGTCTCTACAAACCGTGGCAGTCAGATTTCTGAGCTCCTGTCTGTAGACATATGCTTTGAATAGCTGATTTCAATCTTCAGCATCCTTGAAAGCATTTAAGTAGGCAAATTGGACACAGCAATTCAAAAGAGAAGTCATTGGTGGAAGGTTACTTAGCAATTTTTCATCTCTGATTTCTTTGGACTTTGTAAATACTGTTCCTGCACATTTTCCTTCTGCTGGGCCCTGCCTTATTATTCTGTGCATTGTAGCACTCAATCAGCAATGAAAATGCTGCCTTGCTGCTGTGTACCAGCACAGCCCAGCCACTCCACTCATGCATGGATATTGCTGGTGTCTGGTCCCCTCTGAATGACAAAAAGCAGCAATTAGCTGTGTTAACTTTCCCATCTGTCACGTTGTCAGGAAGCTGTTACAGTGTGTGAAAAGGACCTACTCGCAACACTTCCCATTAAACCGGGTCATTGAACTCAATCTTCTGCTTGAGTGTACTGCAAGTCTTGTCAGCTGCTCGTTTATCCCTTTCTCTGTTGCATTACAAAAAAAAAAACCCATTGTTTTGAAAATGTAATGGTAAGAGAATAAAGTGCATGAAATGAATGTGCATATGGCATCACGCTGCATGCTATTGCAGAAAAACCTATCATGTGCTTCATGGCTGGAGAACTTGTAGGAAAAGGTATAAGGCTTGCAATATTCTGTGTAGGTCTTCCTTCTCCATCAGGCAGTTTCATATTAGATCTTAAAAGATGGAAATGAGAATGTGACCACCTAATAATATAATACCCTGCTCTATCACTGCGTACCCTCAATTGATGATGATCAAATGCCATTTTGTCCTCAGAAATGTGGGATGACAAAGCAGCAAACCTCAGCTCTCTGGAAGTGGAGCACACACATAGCAGCAGTCCCCGTACTCCTGCCCCATTTGTTTTACTCCCTGGAGTGTCAAGAGCAGGAACTTAAACATTGCTGTTATTTACTCTGTTCAGATCCCCTGTTCAGATCAAAGCAGCAGCTTTGAAGCCTTCCTTGTACCACTTGGAAACTATTGTCAGGGTTTCTATAGCTGTACACGGAAAAGACCCAGCGATAGTGCTCTGTGCCCCAGTCCCAGTGTCGAGTGCTTTGCCAAAGCATCATCCTTCTGCAGCAAGTCCCCGGTGCACTCACCCGTTTGCCCATCAGCTCCTGCAGTGCCAGTACTGCCAGAGAGGGGAGAGGCCGGGAAACAAAGCACTGTTCTTCTGTCAGTGGCTAAGGTTCATTCTGGTTTTTAAATCTTTTGCAATTTCAAAGGCCAGTGTCTGTAACAGAGAGCACAGATCTGCTATTGATTTCAAGGGAAATTAGGGCTCTGGGGCTGGGGCTTGAGCTCCTGAGCACAATTACAGGATCAGTTCTTTATTGGCGTTCTATTTCTTTGCTTTCTTTCATTCAAGCTGAAGGCAATTTTATTCAGTGCTTTTTTAATGAAATTGGCCTTTGTTGAGGGCTATGGGAATATTCTGCTATGTGAAAATTTCAGGGTATTTTGCTTTAAAAAGAGCTAATTCTGTTTCTGCTGGTGGGGATCAGGCTCAGCCCTGAATCCATTTTGACCAGAAGCACTCCATTTGCTTTTTCTTAATTTAAAAATGGTTTAATCTTGCTAAAATTAATTTAGTTAAACTGCTGAAGGGAGAGACTGTTTCCTAATGCCCCTTACAGCCCATTGCAGCCACTGAGACATTTTAAAAAAGGGTAAGAGAGCAGCTCATCCTAATTTCTCCATTTTAAACTTCTTTTTTTTTCTATTTAATTGGAGACTTGGCTTTAGACCAAAGTGCATACATATAAAGAAACATGCATTTCAATGCAAATTGAGTCTAAATAAAATACAAGGTAGTAAAAGTGAAGGTTGCATTGAGTGATGAGTTATTTGCCTAAAACATTACAGACGAACCTCCAAAAAGCATGTATGCCCATGTGGATTTTGCAGTTGTTCCAGCCTTTAACCATTTGAGCATCTGACAGTTTTCCTCAGCAATGACTATGCATAAGTGTTTGCATGCTCATTAACTGTGGAAGTACCTCCTGTAATAGGGGCCATTGGAGCCATAGCTGGGTGCTCAGGAGAGGCAGTTCTCCTTTGGAAACTTGTGTCTCACTGATCACAAAGGAGCCTCTTATGGTCTGGCAATCAGGGGTGTAAGTTCTCACACCAGTCTGTATCTGGAGAAAACAAAACGTTTTTTCTGTATGATTATTTAACTATGTGCAGATACATGTCTGTTGGCAAAACTAGATTCTGTGAGAAGCCGAACTACTTCAGGAGGGTCACCAATCACCTCTTTTTCTGTGCCCCAGATTTTTGTGGTGAATAATCAAGAAGAATTGGACCGGTTAAACACAGAAAATGCCTTAGCTTTTAGAAGAGATCAGAGATCTTTGTATTTCAAGGATACCTTTGGATGGCTCCCAGTCCAGGTGAAAATATGACTGTGGTCTCAGAAAACTCGTGAGTGTATGTTTCATTTTTAAATACAGAACATAATGTCTGTACTTAAGGTGTCATATGTAGAAAAAGCTCGGTTTTGAGCACTGCCACAACTGTACATAGTTCTGTGATTTTTGTTCACAGGAGTCTTAATTACTGAGGCATTAACTCATCAGTGTTGCAGGTTGTGATAACACCTCTGTGAACCAGGGTCCACTGGTGAGCAAAATGGGGACAGTTGGGGGAATTACAAGAGTAAAGAACTTTTTTTATTTAATACAAAATGAGGCAAAACTCACCGGGGTACAAAGTTATGGAAAAACACAAACCCTGCAAACCAAACCTGTGGATTTCATTTTTGCTTCGTGTTGCTAAACTAAGTCCTGCTGAAATCAGGAGCAGGATATTTCTTCTGTCCACTGGATTTTTAATCAGATTCTGTATAAACTCTGTGAGCCACCAAATAGCGGGATATGAAAACCTGGTTGTGGGATCTGCCCCCCACAGCCCTTCACCTCGGCTTGCTAGCCAGGCTGTTCATGGTCCAGTTCAGTAACCGCTGTGTGTTTGTTTGGCCAGCTATCCCCTTTCTATCCCATGGATTACCGCTTCGAGGATGGCAATACTTGTGGAGATGGGATTGTACAGGATGGGGAAGAGTGCGATGATGGCAATACGGTTGTGACTGATGACTGTATAAGTAAGTTACAGCGCATCAAGAGCAGCCTCTTTCTAACTGGGAAGGTGCATTAATTGTTTCCACAGGGTAAACTGCTGTGTAAGTCACATAAGTACTGCATGGCTTGTGGATAGAGTGCAGAGGAGTTAGGTACAATAGCCATAGTGTGAAAACTGAGGTCCTCTGTGCATGTGGATGTTACACACCAGCACAAGCTAGATCCTGGGTCCAGTAAAACCGCTTTGGATTTTGTTATTCACTTGCATAGGGAAGGTGTCAGCCTTCACTACCTTCACAGTTTGGTTTATATAACATTTGATTCCTGTCTAGTTGAGCTTCCTTTCATTTTGATGGTTGTGGATAGCAAAGAGCATGTAAGCATACAAGCAGCTGCGGCAACCTTCATATCTACCTTTCAGTTACTTTTACCGCTTGATTCCTTCCCCAGAGCACAGCTCTGTACCCTGTCTGCAGCTGACATACATCCGCTTTGGTACTCTGTTAGTTCTAGCAAAGGGATGCTTCTTCACATTTCAGAACCAGCATCAGCTGGCACTGACAGATTAGTTTTTCTTTGTCGTGTATATAGCACTCTGTTCTTTAACCTGACTTTGCAAATGCGGTGCATGCAGCCACGCTCTATATGAGTTTACCTATCCACCTGTCCATCACCACGCTTCCTCTTATAACATAGGAATCCCAAACAACTTCTCGATGACAACAGGAAAGAGATTTCAAAGGCAATACTATTGCAACAGGTATAGGAAATCATATAACCAAATATCCCTCTAAGCTTGCCTGACTGCAGAGTAATCCAGCAAGAGAGCATGAGCTCTCCAGCCTCTGAGCATGAGAAAATGATTCAATTAGAATTTGCAATTAACTCTGGGGAACAAGCATGCAGGAAATGATGTTCATTAGTTCTAGTGCCTGCAACATTGTACATTGCTTGTCTGGAGGCACATCATGTTACTTTGCACTATATGCTGGACAAAACTTCAGGTCAGTCGAGGCCTTCTGACAATGATGTGACCTGAAGAGGTATCACTGAGTTACTTGGAAGTGAGCACATTGTCACCTTTCTGCTCTTGTGACTGAACCAAAAGAAAAAATTTAACCAAATGTTAGGTAGATTTAACTGTAAAATAGGCTTGTTTTACTTGGAAGCATCAATTTCTAATAAACAGATGCTTGGTGAAATCAATAATATCTCTTTGTAAGTAACTCACATTACCTCCTACAGACTCCCTATTCTTGAGTGTCCTCTTAATCTGTACCTTAACAGTTTTCCAAGAAGATGTCAAAGGGATTTTAGCTAAATGAATTTGAGTCACACTCAAAAAGCTGAAGATGTCAAAAGCAAAGTCCGGTTGCTAGAACAGCAAACAAACCCACAAATTACAACAGCCTACACTTCAGTCACCATGAAAAAATGCCACAAGGCCCACTCACACCCCAGTCAGTAGGAGTCAGCAGTGGGAAAAACACCTTTTTGGCAATCATAACATACTCTGTTTTAATTTTGATAGACAGGCAATAGGTCTGCATAATTCTGTTGGTATATGGGAACTCATTTGCAGTAGACACACATAGATACCATGCAATACTGGGTAAAGGTCTAGGCTGGGATTTTCAAACCACTTAAAGACCTCAGAGTGTTCTTTTGAAATTATTTATGTTAACTCTATTTTATGCTTAATTTATTTCATTTTGACAGTAATTATTGGTGTTAATAATAATTATTAGAATGCTGTTGTGATTAGTGTTTCTGTGTAAACAGCTTTAGTAGTTAACCATTCTTTCATATACTTTATAGGGAAGAATATTCCTCCTTCTAAGACAGTTCTTACAGGATGCCCTCCCCAAAATGCCTTGTTTTATACTTTGTCCTTAAAAATCTAGTTCCACTTACCTTACCTGCTTCTTGTACATATGAGGTGCCTTGAAAGTATTTCTTTCTGTATTTTTCACCAGGATGCCGCCGTGCTTACTGTGGAGATGGCTACAGACATGAAGGGGTTGAAGACTGTGATGGAAAGGATTTTGGATATTTGACATGTAAAACATATCTCCCTGGGTGTGTATGACCTGCCTTCACTTTGGTTCAGGGGCTTTTGTTTGGTTGGCTTTTCTTTTTAGTCTTTGCCAGCTTTAACACAAAAAAAGAATTACCCACTTCAAGCTTGTTCCACTGGGACCACTGCAGGCAGTGGGAGAGAAAGACTATCAGATTATTTCTGTATATCATTGACTTTAAGAGCCAAATCTCATCTCTCAGTGATTACCACACACTTCTTATTGTACAAAATGAGTAAAGGTAAATAGACATATATCTGCTCAATATTTGCAAGGTTTCCTCATTCTGTGGCATTATCATAGCATTAATGCTCACCCATAACATGGCAGGAGCAGGAAAGACCATGATATGGAAATGATCACACTGAAGGAAAAACCCCAACAAACCAAACCACAACCTCCAACCTTCCTCCTGTTGCCCTTACCTTTAATGGGTACTGGTATCTTTGTTTCTGAATTAACCCGTCATCTATGGACCTTTCCAAAGACCAGGAAATTCACTGAGCTGCGATACAAAGCCATGCATCTGCTTAGCAACAGCCTTCGTTTAAAACGTCTGCTTATTGTTGACTTGCCTTCTCTGCCTTTGTTTAAGCAGCTTCTTCTGGTCAGCATTTTGCCTCCTACAGCAGTACCCCTATTTAACTGTCAGGTATTGTTACTGACTAGCAGGAAACATTTAATTTGCAAATGAAATTAGGCACAGAGCTCCCATCATTCATGGAAGGGTAATGTGCTAATTGACAGGAGCAAGAAACCACAGGATGTCTTTGTAAGTCAGGTGCTGTGCTAATCCTTCCATTGTAATTGTTGGAGCACTCCTGGTGTAAGAGATTATCAATATGGAGTACAAGCAAACCTGGCAATCTGAAACATTTTACAAGTATCTCATCTTCAGACAGTTTGTTCTCTACCGTGAAAGCGATTCCCTTCTAAGAGTCCAAAGTTTGGTGCCAAAAATAGCAAGCTTTTTCTTGAGATTTTTTTACAAATGTCACGTTCCAAGTCGTGAAGAGCAACTGAGGTACTTTATTTTTGTGCGTGCAGTCTGTAAATTATCTGCTAAACTAAAGAAAAGGCTGTGACTCATAAGTAAAATGGAATAAGTATGTCAGCAGGCACTCCTGTGGGAGTTTAATCCCAAAGCACCCTTTCCTTCAAGAGCTCTGCTACAACGGTTTTTCCCATTTTCTACTCTTTCCAGTCCCCAAATCCATCCTCTTATTTCACACACCTTCACTTGAGATTTTATGTTGGTTTTCTGAGAATGTGGGTTATCCCAGGACATAGCTTTAAGGACCTGCTTAATGGCTGCTTAATCCACAGTTTGTGGATAATTTGATGGATGAGTTATTCACTTCCACCTATGCTAGCAATAAAAGCTCTGCTCAGGTCTTCAGTAGGTAGAGTCACTGCACTCAATTTTAGTCAGTAGAAAGACTAAAATCACTGGTTTTCCTTATTTTGCAAGGACCTGGTACACTCCTTTCTTTTTTTAATCTCGAGTGTGTGCAAGTGTCACTGTCATTATTCCAAGTATGCAAAAAATAAGTTAAAGGACAGGCACAGTCATGCCAGCTGGAGATATTGGAAGTAACCGGAAAAACACTTAACTCAAAGGCTCAGATATTTCATTATACAGTTCCCATCGGTGAGTGCCAAGGCCTCCTGCACCCACGCCCGCTCAAGTCCCAGTGCCCACAGGGATTTTATTCTTTAATTGACATTACCGGGAATTAAATCCTCTCTCATAGTTTCTTCAGGACTCTTGTTTTGCTGACAAGTGGGAGCACAGTGGAGCACTGATGAAATTACCCTCTTATTTTGGTTCCTGTATGTTGAGACTCCATATGGCATTTTCTGATGTTCATCACTCCTACAGAGAGTATATCCAGAATCCACATAATGTGAACTATAGCATACTTTGAAACTGAAATATTCTCTTTTATTTTAGGTCTTATGGAAAATTGCGGTGCACTTCTTATTGCTACATCGACTCTACACAGTGTCGATACTTCACATGAGGGGAGCGGAGGTGGGTAGCATCCCACATGCAGCGGGGTGCTAGGTGCTACACTGTCATCTATCCAAGAAGGACTGGGACAAAAAATATACCCACCCACCTCTGTATGAAAGCAAAGAAAGAGACATCATGCTGCTGATGGCCATTTTGAGATGTTTTTCTTTTGTTTTTAAATTGTCAGATTGGGAAAAAAATAGGACCACTGCATCTTGTCTTAATAGAGAAATGTCAAACCGTGTTTGCCAGTAAGACCTTTATGTGGCTGTGGGTGGCGACTCACCCTCCATCACAAATGTCATGTTAAGCTACTGGAAACTGAGTTTCACTAACCAGGAATAACGTGTAACAATTACCTCTTTTTAGCACTGTTAAACCTACATGTAAGATCTTCAGGGTTTCTGTCTTTGAACCTCCTAAGCATAAACACGAAGCATATCTTGGATGCGCTGTTTATAGAGACTTTCTCTTTTATTACAATGTGAACTTTGCAAGTGTTGTATCCACGAGTGATGGCTTCAGTGACATTAAGGGTAACTGTACACCTTCGTGGGTTGAAGGAGCAGATGCCCTTCAGTAAATGCTTTCAGGATCAGAAATCAGTCAAAAAAACGCTAGTTATCTTCACCTTTAGGCTAAGAGATTTGGCTGTGTGCGTCTGCGCGCATGCATAGGAATGCAATCACAGGAGTCCTGAAACTTCAGACCAGAAGGCCAAAAGGACAAATGTACTGTGAAATAACCAAGGAGATCTCTCCCACGAGAGAAATCAGACAAGGAGCAAAGATAAAGAAGGAACACTTTTCCGTATTTTTCACCTTTGTGCTAAGCTGGCTGGGATCTGTGTGACCCCAAAGGGGCTGAGACAGCATTGGTCACCTGCCTGAAACTACAGCATGACTATGTACACATTGCCTTCACTCTGGTTTCTATACTAGAAGGTCTTCTCGTTTTCATCCCCTTGTCCATCCAACCTTCATCACTGAATCCCGGTTATATGCTGTTCTCTCCCGTTTGTTGTTTCCACCATTGTGTCTGGGGTACCCCGAGTGTATGTTCTCACTTTTGTATTGCTGTAAATCAGGCCTTGGAGTAGGGTGTTCATGGATGCTTATACATGCCGTGTAATGAACAGTGTAATGTACATGTATTTTTGTTTTTAAGAAAGTTTGTTCAACTATATTAGCTCTGATAGGAGTCAGGGTAATTATGTACTTATTTATTAGTAAGCATTAAAGATCAAATTTCACATGGGAAGCATATTAAATGTTATGTGTGAAAGAGTCTATAACAGAGAAAAATGAAGCAATAGATGTGCAGAATACGGGACTAAAAACCTCAAATCAAGGTGTTATTTTCATACAAGCCCCTCTTTCCTGCTTCACGATCAATGCTGCACACAACTGTTTGAAATGCAAGAGTTATCTGTACCAGTGACAGCACTGTAACAGCCGCACTCACACTGGTACTGCTGTAAAGGTTAAATAAAGGTGGGTGTTGTGTTATAATGATAATGCATTAAAGCAATTGAGAAATGCACACAGCTTTCGCCACCTGTATAGCAGTCTTTAACTCCGCATATCCAAAGTGATACTGGAAACAACAAAACCCACAGTTGGTGTGCTCTTTGTGGCTATCACTTACTTGGGCTGTTTATGTTGTTATGAAGCCAAGCCACCAGCATCTGTAGCCCAGTTCAAAATTTTCCATCTGGTTGCTTTTCTTCTTTTTAAATAGAGGTCTTAATAAAAGGTCAAGGAACCACTGGGGCAGGAACTTGCCGTAAGCTTTGGAAATCTGGCCGCTAGCACAGCTGCCTTGTAATTTCCCATGCTTGTGCTGTGATGGGTTCCAGCAACGTCACACCATGCAATAGTATGCATCCTGGCAGGAGGCTCCCGAGGACAGCCATGCTTCCTGCAACACATCCTGCTGGCCAGCCCTCCAGATGAACCTTTGGCAATATCTGCCTGGTGTTACTATCCTGGGCTTGGAGACACTTTATCTGAACCCCTCACCTTCTCCAAGGAGTTCATCTCTGCTCCCCAAAAGGCTGGAGTCTTTGGGAAAATTGATGATTCCAGTGGCCTTTCACCTTCATCATTTTTAAAAGCTCCTACCTCCAAAGGACATTGAAGTTGCAAAGCTAAGTGGGTGGAAGGTAGGGAATATAAACAGCAGATCTGAGCATGTAGTAGAATTGTACTGTGCTGCACATGTTCAGGAAGGGGCATATTGGTCTGGTCAGAAAACATTCACAAAGCATGGATTTTAAATGGACTTCCTTAATACAGCACAAACAATTCAGCATCTTAACAGAAAGAAAACAATGTAAGATATAAGGGGGGGAAAAAAAAGAAGACATGAAACAAGTTTCTCTGTCATTATTGTCTTGCTTCCCTCAGATGATAAAGCATGAGGAAGACATCTGGGAAGTTGTTAAGTACGTATGATTTAAAAGGCTGCAAAATAAATCCTTCCTCTTTATCTCTGACATACCTGCTTTACCCTTAATTGGGGATTCTTCAGTTGGATGGTGCCTGGACTGCTGTGAAATGTCTTCCCTCCTTCTCTGAGTTCCTTAACATGTGCCAAGACTGATTCAAAAGTTAATTGGGGTATTGCAGTTCCCTGGCCTTTCGGAGCAGCAAACGTTTGTGGGAGAGTTCTCTAGTCATTAGTACACAGCTCTAGAGAAATACAAAACCAGTACGATCCTACGCCATGCACTGTATTAAATGTCTACTAAAAATCCAGCTTGCACTTAATATATAATTAAATATATGTAGTTACCTACTGTGTGTATTAGCAGCTCATGTCAATAAATTGTGCTACCTTAGTTCTGCTGTGTCCTTACTTTCGCCCACTTTGTTTTGGGTTTAGTAACACATTTAGTAACATTTAAAGACAATGACCTAGTTTAAGGCACTGGGGAGAGAAAAAAGCCGGTGCCTCCTCTCCCATGCCTGCTGCCTCTCCTGGTCTGCCTCTGGACCTGGCTCTGTGCTGTCACACCAGCATGGACAGCCCAGGATTGTGACTGCGCATCCCCATGCCTCGTCTCACCTCTGCCTCAGCCCCACACTGACCCTTGCAACACGCCATGTGCAGAAAGGCTCCACTTCCACTGATTTCTGGTTGTAATCAACGTCACATGGGCTGCTTTAAGGCGGCTTTGACGTGAGTTTGGATGCTATCTCCTCCTGCTACCTCATAACCTGCTGGCTGGTTTGTAACTCCTATCAGCAGCTGAGCTGCTGGTTGCAAACCAGAAAGCAGGGGTGTCAGGTGCTAATGGACACTGGGAATGGTGGTGGTGGCACCCAGGGTTTGGTCAGTCCCAGCAGCCAGTACCCAGGCTTTGGGAAGAGGCTCCTGCCGTGCCATAGCAGCTGGCAAGTCTGTTGAACAGAGGCTTTTTGTACAAGAGGGCATCCCAGAGAAGGGCAGTGCTGTCTGTTCCTGGGGGAAGTGGAAGTGAATTGACAGCCAGAGGATGAATGAGTCTTTGGGGCGATATATTTTCTGCCCCTCCTTTCTAAAAGCTCACCTTTGTGACACTCGCCTCTCTGGCTTTCCAAATGCTTACATCATGTCTCTCCTCACTTTGAATCATCCAGAATTGTATCCAACCCCATCCTTGCCCATAAATCTGGCCATGCAGCTCATGGCCCTTCTTCATCCTTATGGTTTTCTTTAATGTCACCAAAGTTCATACCCTTTGTAGTCCCTCCAAAACCCTGTAATGCCCTCACTGCTCTGCAGGCACTGGGTTTAGTTGGCTTCTTTTTCAGCCTCTCACATCATCCCTTTCCAAACATCTTCTGCATGTCACAGCCCCACAAATGTCACAGCAAAGCCCCTTGGCCACAGTTCTTTCCTTCTTAAAGGTAACATTGGTGCAATTCCCATTCCAGTCTCAGTGATAAGGACCAGAGGAGAGGGGATTGGTGGTTATCCTTACACTGTGAGTTCCCCAGAACAGGCACTGTCTTTGAGCACCAGCTCTTTATGAGTAATGACAGTAAAAAGTCCCAGGTTAGCTGCTTGTGGGGACAATTCAACAGATGCAGGCAACACCTGCATCCAATCAGGGCATGTATGAAAAAAATAGACCAAAATAAACCCTAGAGAAGTGAACCAGTGCCGTGCTGTGATTCTGTGGCAATAGTCAAATGTGTCACGCAGGCAAGGCAGTGCCACATGATCTTTAAAGAGATATTGGAAAAATAATGTTTTAACTCACAAAGGGTGAGGCAACAGACAACACTTTGTGATAGACCTTCAAGTTCTTCCTCTGATACCTAAGGAGATGGATACAGCAAAGCAAGTGTCCTTCCCCTGGAAACCATTCTCCTGCACGGAAAACACTGAGTAATGGGCTATTGAGCTTTGCTACAGGCAATGTAAGGTGCTGACAGAAAGACAAACTAAAGCAGGCAGGTAGTGAATGCTCAGAGTAACTGATGCTTATTGATCTGGTGAGGGACTGTGCAACCTGCAGAGTGTCTGAGTGCTGCCAAACCTTAATCAAAGAGAAAAAAGGAGCAAAGCCCAAGCAAATGAGACATTTTGTGTCTTTATTGAACACGGTCATTGAAAAAAACCCACAGGATTAATGCATTCAGCCCCATGCCCAGCAATGTGCTCTTTGCTGGAGTCCTCTGTGCTGAAGGCTGGTGTGATTCCAGGGCTGCAGAGGCCAGAGCAAAGGCCGGGCACATGCTTTCATTGCATCAGTAATTACTGGGGCAGTTAGGAGGATGGCCCTGAACCAGCCCAGCCAAGGAAAGGCTGTGTTTGAAAGAGTAGCCAGGCCAAATTATATTAGAGGAGTGTAATCCTGCTGCAAATCACATTACTGTCTACTTCCCTCCCTCCTCCCCCAACAAAATCTTGGCACTTAAAAAGCACTGAGTTATAGCCCTGGCCTTTTAGGGATTTTAATTCACTCTAACAGTTTCCTGTGCATCTGATGGAGGGCACAGTCTGGATGTATGATCTTCTCAAGTGAGAGAGAATAGGGCTTAAACAGCTGTATTTTGCTGCCATCCCACCCCCTGCTGAACAAATATCCCTTCCAGCACCGGCTGCTGCTTAGCATCTTCTTTGGGAAAGGAGAACCATGGAGCTGAGCCCAGCAAGCTAAGCAGTGCTGCAGGGCACTGCAGGGAGCAAGAGCCTCTCTGGCCATCGTGCTCAGGGTGGAAAAGATGCCACTCGTGCATCTCTTCAGGAAAAGCCATGTGTCAGGCTGTCCCCATTGTCCCCCAGGGCTAATGTTACCAGTGGCATCTTCTGCAGGACACAGGGAAGGACAAAGCAATCCCAGAGCTGTTTTGCAGGCATGGCTGGGGGCCTGCCCGGCTGGTGTGTGACAACACAAATGCAGAGCCTGATGGAGCAGGGATCTGAGGTAACTGGACAATAAATCAGCCAGGAGGAAGAGGAGGTAACATAAACCTCCTCTCACTGCAGCACATTGAGTATATTTAGAAACTCAGCAACTTAAGACCCTCTCTCAGCCAGTTTAAAGTGTCACCATTTAATAAGCAAACAAACTGACATCAGCATTAAATTCAAGCCTGTGGCAAAATATATGTGCTTGACCCTTGTACCAGGCATGGGAGGAAGCTTTCGGGGTTCGTCTGGGAGAGAAGACAGAGACCTGTCTGGGTCCACAGCATCCCTGGTATGGAGTGAGCAGGGGGGGATGACAGCCATTCACCATCACCTTTCCTGGAGGAAGAGGCACGCAATGGCATTTCCCACTGAACCACCAGCAAGCACTGACTTAAGTCATGGAAATGCAGGCATGTAAGACTGGTTTTCCTTTGCTCTCTTAACCAGAGCATCTCCAGATTGGTGAAGCAAGGAGGAAATAGCTTGGGGAGTCCATATTATTCCCAAACCCGCTAGTGGGGGGCCAGAAACCTTTTAGTGATGAATTTTGTTTGGAAGAGAAGAGCTCCCATTGCTCCTTGTCTTCATGTCCCTCACCCACGAAGCTCACCATGCAGGAGCTGAGGGAGGTTGCACTAAGCCAGTCAGACATTTGGTACTCCCCATGCCTTCCTCTTGGAGGTTATTTGATGGGCAAACATACAGGGAAACCTGGCAACCCTGACACTTTATAGCAATATAATTCCTCTCATACATTTCCATCAGGTTTCTCGTCTTACCTACCTAGCACCACTGCTCTGAGGATGGGATGCGCCGAGCAAGGTAATACTAAGGACTGCTTAGGTTTCAAATTGTTACCAGATTTAAAGGGGAGGATGACTGCTTAGGGGTAAGAAACAGAACAGTTGAGGCAACTGAACTGTCCAGAAGTGCCCTGTTGAAATATGAGTATTATGGGTCAAAACCCACGGGGAGGCTGGTCAAGAAGTACAATAAAAAGCCAAGTTTCATCTGTAATGTCCCAGTGCATTCAGACAAACCATCATAAACTATCTGGTTACCACAGTAATGAGTTACTGTCTTGCTGTCTTCTGACCAGAGATTAGTTGTCAAACTAAGCAGTAACCCCAAAGCAGAAGCATGGGTCCAGCAGGGTAAAGCTGGCAATATCACAGGTCTTAGTAGTCACAGTGAAGGGCAGAGAGGCTTGGTCTGTGCCAGGACATTTTGAGCAAGACAACACCTGGTGTGAAATGCTGCAGGATTACAGCTTCTAAATAAAGTCACGGACCTGTACCTGCTGCTGCTTAGGCTTGGCAGGCTCATTCTGCCTTAAACTGTATGAGACTGAACTGTTACGCTG